AAAGTAGCAAAGTATTACTGAAGAATTAAAAAAACATTTAAATTCTAAAAGAAAATACAATTTTAAGTAAAAATAAATAATAAAGACTAAAGACTAAATAATAAATCTACCTGTATCATAGCCCTATTTTACTGTGCTCAAGACTTTCCTCTATTCTCCACTAGACTTGAAGGCAGGGACAGCGCAGAACTCAAGTCTATATACCAAGCCCTTAGCACAGTGTCTAACCAAATTTCCTAAATTAATAGTGATCAATTCTGATAATTCTGTATGTCTATGATTTAAAAATAAAAACTCATGACAAAATTAATAGCCTAAAAGATGATATCACACAAATTAAGGCCACAAATATTGACTCTAAATTAGATTTGATCTTTTTGTAAATCAAGGCTGTATTAATCAATGTGTGTATGGGATGAAAAGAGGGACTGAAGGTGAGGAAACCAGCTTTAGTGAGAAACAAAGATCAGAATTCTATAATAAAAGTGCTCCATTTGAGGCGAGGAGTCTAACTGAATTTAATCGACATTTGCGAGGACAGATACTTATGCAGACATAATTAGAGAGCTTTCCAAGTCTATATTATGCAAAATTATGCAAAATTATATATTTTTTATTTTTATACCTCAAAACTTAATAATGGATGTGGGATAAGCTTGCTTACCACCTAAAAATTAGGGATCTGTAAAGTTTGGATTTTTGAAAATACCACAGTCCTTAGAAAGCTACGTCACAGATGATGGATCGCTTCTCTTTTTCAATCTCAAACATTCTGCCTCTTGAATACCTGTACTGTAAAGGGGGTTCTTCACCATTGGGTAGATGGGGGATCTCAGGTGGTGTTACAAAAACAGTATGTTCACTTTTGAAAGATTCATCCAGTTCTATAAGTCGCACTTCACCGCTCTTGTCCACATCCACCTGAAGGAGTTTAAAAAACACATATTACAAAAACCATGTTGGTTAGCCATGTATTCATCTATAGGGGAATGGTTAAATAAATCATCTGCACAGATGAATACTAAAGAGCTATTAAAAAAAAAAAAAGAATGAGCAAGTTCTCTATGTACCACTACAGAAAGAGCTCGATGATAAGTGAAAATAGCAAGGTGCCAATCACTGTAAATAGTAGACTATCTTTTGAGTAAAAAACAGGGGAAAATAAGAACATTTATTCATTTTTTTTTACATTTACATAAAGAAATACTAGAAGGATACTAAGAAAAGTAATTACGTATATGGGGAAGAAGAGAAGAATAGAGTGGATGAGGATGGGGTAGGAACCCAGATGTCCCAATATGTACCTTTTTATATTGTTCTGCATTTTGAATCATACAAATGTAATCAAGAAATAAGATTTTAAAAAATGCATATATGTGTGTGTGTGATAAAAATAGAGGATTCTGTATATTTTTAAAATTTATACTAACTATAACAAACTTCTCTAAGTTCTTTCAGTTATGTAGAAGTACTTTTGAGTTAAGCTCTAGTCACATCAATATTCAAAAGCACTTTAGGGTGCAGTGGCCCACACCTGTAGTCCTGGCACTTTGGGAGGTCAAGGTGGGAGGATCACTTGAGGTCAGGAGTTTGAGACCAACCTGAGCAAGAGAGAGACCGTGTCTCTACAAAAAATAGAAAAATTAGCTGGGCGGGATGGAGCACGCCTGTAGGCCCAGCTACTCCAGAAGCTGAGGCAC